CGGGGGGGGGGGGACCCGGCTGATCCCCTGACCCGTCCCTCTGGTCCCGGTCAAACATGGGTCCCTCTCCCAGAACCTGGGAGTTGAACTTGCCCGTCTTGGACTCTTGTTCCCTTGGCGTCCCACACTTGGCCCCCATCTCTCCCTCGCTGCCCTCCTGGGCGCTGTCTCCGCCACCATCCACTCTGGCTCTTTTCCCTCTCTTCTCTGATGAACTCTCCCTGGAGCCCCTGCCACTCTCCCAATCTGTGGTCCTTGCCCTTCTATATGACCTGCCAAGGACTTGGCCTGGACCAGTCCTGTCTTGGTCCCAGTGGAGCACAGCTGCTTCCACAGGGGTCTAGGTTAGTTAAGGCCAGGAGATCCCAGGTGGGCATCTTTCCCACCATCCAGAAGCAGCTGCTTTATCTCCCTCCCACTTCCATCAGCTGATGAGGAAACTGAGGCAACCCAAGGTCACAGCCAGCATGAGGCAGGGCAGACCACATTAAATCTCATGCTTGAGTTTCCAGATTGAACTTTTCCATTGGTTGACTCACATCCCCATCCTGTGATCCTCCAGCAGGGCACATTCCTCCGCCAGTATAAGGAGGGCCCCTGTGCTGCCTCATCCACCTGCATTATCAAGCTGGTCTGGTCTTCACAGTTCTGTGAGGGAGGCAGGATCTAGCTCCATCCCATGAATGAGGACGCTGAGGCTCAGAGGGGGCTTCAAGAATTGCCCATAGTCAGACAGCTGAAAGTGCAGAGCACCAAGTTAACCAGTCTCCACAGCCAGTGCCCGTCATCTGTGCATCTCCTGACTAAAGCATCCTTTAGTCCCACCTCCTGTCTGTCCCTGTGCCCCAGGAACACTGGGTTCATTTCCTAGGAAGAGGCTGTGTTGGCTCTCTCTAGCTCCTCTGCTCTGATCCTCCACCTGAGCCCCCAGTGCCATCCCATCAACCTAGACAGTGCTGGCCTCAGTTCCTGGAGTGTCCTCACCAACGCACATCCTGACTGCAAAGCCTCTCCTGGCAGCCAGAGACACCCGGCTGGCTGGGCCTGCCGGTGGCTGAAGGGAGCCCAGCCAGCACCTCACCCAGTCATTAGGGAAAGTTTAGCCTCAGGCGGACGTGCTGACACACAGTTTGGAATCAGCTCAGAAGGAAAAAATGTGTGGTCCTTAGGAGAGGAAGTATGAAGAGAGAGCCCCTTTGCTCTGACCAAAGGGATCCTCCGATGCCTTTGGTAGAGCCAGCAAGAAGGTGGATGCCATGGCCATTAAGGGGGCAGGAGGAGGGAGATGCCACGTTTCCTAAGCAGGTGGCAACTCATGTAAATGGCTTTGTATTTTTCAGCACGCGGCATGCTTGGATGTCCCTACTCTGGCTGTGGCATGGAGGGCCAAAGGCTCCTCTTCGTCACTGCCCTTGCCCTAGAGCTCCTGGGAAGGGCTGGGGGGTCCCAGCCAGCCCCCCGGAGCTGGGGAGCTGCAGCAGCCTGTCGCCTGGACAACAACGAAAGCGAGTCCTGGGGGACCCTGCTGAGCACAGAGAGGCTAGACACCTGGATCTGCTCCCTCCTGGGCTCACTCATGGTGGGACTCAGTGGGGTCTTCCCATTGCTTGTTATTCCCCTGGAGATGGGGACCATGCTTCGCTCAGAAGGTGGGTGACCCTCCAGGGGCACCAGTGGGCAGCCAGCAGGTGGGAAATGTGCTGCTGCTCTTCTTGGAAGACCCCTGGTCTCAGGTACTAGGTCACAGTGTGACTGAGATGGAGGGCAGGGTCACCTCAGTCCTCTGGGCACAGGGTGCTGTGTTCATTTGTTCATTCATCCAGGCATCTGTTTATTATTTCAGTCAGCAAACATTTACTAGACTCAATGTGAACAGTGGTTGGAAATATGGCTGCCAGGCTACCTGGGCTTAAGTCCTGGCTCTGCCACTTAACAGCTAAATAGTACAGGGCAATTTACTTCACTTCCACCTGCCTCAGTCTTCCAATCTTAAAAATGGGGTAATGGGGCTGGAGATGTGGCTCAGTAGTTGAGTTTGATCTCCAGCAACTTCCCCAAAATGAGGATAATAGTATTTGTTTCTACCATGAAGAGTAAATGAACTGTCACACATAGAGCACTCAGATTGGCTAGTGTGGGGAAAGGGCTGGGTGTTCACATGACTCATGCTGAACCTTGGGATGCAGTGGTGAGAGAAGCGTCACCTCTCCCTTCAGTCTCAGCTCATGGTGTGGAAGAGTTCTAGGCCAGGAACTGCCTTTCCCAGGAATATGCAGGAGGCTGATGCAGGGCCTGCCTCCAGGAAGGGACCTGGGAGATGAGGCCAGGCGTGGATGGGGGGCTTTCGCTGAACTACACTTTTGTTCCATATGCACTGCCTGTCTGTTCACAGATAACATGTTATAATTAAAAAATTAAAAGGTTACATGGCACAGGCCTTGTCATGCTAATTGGGAGGCTGAGACAGGAGGATCAGCCTGAGCAACTTAGTGAGACCCTGACTCAAAATAAAAGATAATTAATGGGCTGGCGTTCTGGCTCAGTGGTACAGCGCTTGCCTAGCATGCAAGAGACCCTGGGTTCGATCCTCAGCACTACATAAAAATAAATAAATAAATAAATAAATAAATAAAATAAAATAAAGGTATTCTGTCCATCTAAAACTAAAATAAATAAATAAAAATAAAAGATAAAAAGGACTGGGGATGCAGCTCAGTGGTAGTAATAGAACATTTGCCTACCATGCACAAAGGCCCTGGGTTCAATCCCCTATTAAAAAAAAATTAAAAGATTATATGGGAAGCTACTAAAAATGCAGGTGATGGGCTGGGGATGTGGCTCAAGCGGTAGCGCGCTTGCCTGGCATGCGTGCGGCCCGAGTTCGATCCTCAGAACCACATAAAAAACAAAGATGTTGTGTCCGCTGAAAACTAAAAAATAAATAAATATTAAAATTCTCTCTCTCCTCCTCCCTCTCTAAAAAAAAATATATGCAGGTGCCTATTTCCTAGCCCAAGAGTGTGACCTAGCTGGGTGCAGTGACACACACTTGTAATCCCAGCTACTGAGAAGGCTGAGGCAGGAGGATCACAAATTCAAGGCCAGCCTTGGCAATAATTAAAAAATTAAAAAAGAACTAGGATGTAGCTCAGTGGTAGAGTGTCCTTGGGTTCAAGCCCCAGTGACACCAAACAAAACAAAACAAAAAAGCACCCCAAGTGTGACCTCTTAGGGCAGGACTGGGGCCCTAGGAGACTGTTAGAAAAGAGCACCCATTAGGTTTGTGCTGCTTGCTAAGCTCAGGAACAGTTTATTTACCAGATGGTTCCAGAACTCTATGCCAGGTTCTGGGCTGGAGGTTGGCACTACACCTGTGAACAGAATCCTTGTGGGGCCCTATCATGCCCATGTATCAGCTCATCCAAGGTCAACATAGGGAGCACTTCGATTATGAGTTCCATTTCACAGGCACAGAGAGGTTCTCTGACCAGCCCAAGGTCGCACAGCTTCTAGAATAGCAGCTTTCCTGGGGATGCCACCCCACTATCCAGCTGCCTCTGTCCTCTAGGCCTCAGTTGCTCTAACAAACCAAGGACTTGAATGTGGTTCCTGTAGGGCCCTTCCAAATCTGGATGCTGCAAGTCTGCAAAAGTTCCCAAATCTGCAACTCTTATGAAGAAATTTCCACTTAATAAGCATTTGTCATTTTAATTACCACAAGATTCAATTTACAGACAGGGAAACTGAGTCTCAGAAGTTCTCTGAAGGACACCTGGTGTTAGGTTGGGGAGCTGGGACCTATCAGGCTCCAAAGCCCAGCTTTGCAACCATGATGCACTATTGACTCATAGTAGGCCAGCAGATCGCAGTGTGTCTCTGTTGCGCACCCAGCCCTTTGCTGTGCCTGTCAGAACAGCAGCCCATAGCCAGGCTTCCTGAAGCTTGCAATCTGGCCAAGACAACAGAAAGCCCAGTGAGCTGAGCAAACAGAGGTCAGGCCAGTGGCTCGGCCTCAGAACCCCGTGTCTCTGTCTTGTAGCTGGGGCCCGGCGCCTGAAGCAACTACTCAGTTTTGCCCTGGGGGGACTCTTAGGCAACGTGTTTCTGCACCTGCTGCCCGAGGCATGGGCCTACACATGCAGCTCCAGCCCTGGTGAGTGAGGCTGCAGGCTGGGGGCAAGAGGGCAGGAGCAGGGAGCTGGTGCCAATGCCCAGTGTTGGTCTAGGCCCTGCCTGCTGTAAGAGTGACTGGGAGAGGGATTTGGCAAGGAACTTGCCCGAGAGGGAAGGTCATTGCCCTGGTCCCAGTACCCTGGCATCTATGGAAGTCCTGAGACCAGCTGCCTGGCCAGTTAGTCTTTGGACCCTGTCACTGTCCCAGACTAGGCCCCATTCCAAATGACCCCCTCTGATGGTGCTGGCCTTGGCATGGCCTGTGCTCCCACGGCAGGTGGTGAGGGCCAGAGCCTGCAGCAGCAACAGCAACTAGGACTATGGGTCATCGCTGGCTTCCTGACCTTCCTGGCATTGGAGAAGATGTTCCTGGACAGCAAGAAGGAGGGGGCCAACCAGGTGAGCCCTGAATCCCAGAGCCTGGATATGCCAGCCTGGACCAAACTCTGAGTTAAGTCCTTCAAAATAGTGGTCTCCTGGCCCTCTTTGGGAAGATCTGGGGAGGGAGGCTGGACCAACCTTGGGAAGATCTGGGGAGTGCCAGCATCAACCCCTGCCCTGGCTTGTGCTGGTAGTGACAGGTGGGTGGGAGTGAGGGTTGGCTGAGTTTGGGGCATCTAGTGGATCAAATGGCCGAGAAGCCTAGCCAGATAAGAGTTATTCCCTGTCTCTTCTCCATCTTACTTTCCCCTCTGTCTGCCCTGAGTGGGGGGCATCTAATATCACCTCTTTCTCCTCCTGGCTGTAGGCCCCCAGCAAAGACCCCACTGCTGCCGCGCTCAATGGAGGCCACTGTCTGGCCCAGCCGGCTGCAGAGCCCGGCCTGAGAGCCGTGGTCCGGAACCTCAAAGTGAGTGGCCCACTCCGGGCCCCCTTCCTACAGCCACAAAGCTGAGTGGCCAGCCCAGCTCAGCCCTCCTGCCTGGCTCAGTCCGGCTTTCTCTCCCCTCACCCAGGTCAGTGGCTATCTCAACCTGCTGGCCAACACCATAGACAACTTCACTCACGGGCTGGCCGTGGCTGCCAGCTTCCTTGTGAGCAAGAAGGTGAGTTGAGGCTTGGCAGCAGGTCTCATGCATTTCTGGCTTGAGGGGGATGATGGTAGCAGTGTGGTTCCACCACCAAAATATGCCAGGTCTGTCTCCTTGCGTTTTCCATTATCAGTACCTTCATCTAAGCTCCAATTTCACTGTGGCTCTTGTGGATGTTACCATGGCCGCCTCCTCATCTCCCAGCGCTTTCACTCATGAGCCCCTACTGTGTTCTTGTTGCCCACACTCCTTGTTGGGGTGCCTTTATCAAGCTGCTAGGCTTGGCCACTGCCTGCTTCTAGGTGCTTCTTCCTTTACTTCCTCCCTGTGTGATCTGGCCTCAGTGCTCATCTGCCTACTCTTGAACTGGCCTCTTTCCCACTTCACACTCTGCCCTCTGTCTGAAATGTTCTTCCTCCCTCTTAGCTGACTCCTCATCTTTAAGGCCTTGGCTTAGATGTACTTTCTCAAAGAGGCCTTTGCTGCTGGCTCCTCAGTCCACTTTGGTCCCTGTCCTCCCAGCCCCATAGCACCTGGTCCACCCTCTCCCTCACAGAACTGCTCTGGGAGGGGCCACACAGGTGTCATGTGTGCAGTCCTTGTCTCTCCCCCTAGACTGTTAGCTTCAAGAGGCAGACTTCTTGTTGCTTTTAGTCACTGTTGTCTTTCCAGTAGTTTGCCCAGACTAGAGCAAATATTCGTAAAGTGGGTGGGCATGAGGGGTACCAAGACCCTCAGCACAGACCCTGCAGACACTCCCTCCCTGCAGATCGGGCTCCTGACCACCATGGCCATCCTCTTGCATGAGATCCCCCACGAGGTGAGTGCCCAGAGGGTTACCTCAAGGACCTAAGTCTGAAGGGTTCCCATGCTCAGCAGGGGCTTGGGGCTTGGAGCTTGGGAAAGGCTTTGGGGTGGGCCTGCCCTGCAGTGGTAGGCTGGAGACTGCAGCCTCCTCAGGATTTGCCCTGGGAGCAGGGGACTGGGTGTGCATGTCTGAACCTGAGGCACTCAGGTGATCTGGCCCAGCTGAGGCCCATGGCAAACATCTGCTCCTCCCCCCAGGTGGGCGACTTTGCCATCTTGCTCCGGGCCGGCTTTGACCGATGGAGCGCAGCCAAGCTGCAGCTCTCAACAGCACTGGGGGGCCTTCTGGGCGCCTGCTTTGCCATCTGTACACAGTCCCCCAAGGGAGTAGGTATGGGCTTGGTGGGTGGTGGTGGTTGACAGAGGAGGGCCAGCCATGGGTTTGCAGGCGTGGGGCTGGGGTCTTTCTCATCTTCCCTCCTCAGCCCGTGGGAGGGATGGGAGATGAGTCCCCTGGGCTCAGCAGTCAGGCATCTTCTTCGCCTGCAGAGGAAACGGTGGCCTGGATCCTGCCCTTTACCTCTGGTGGCTTTCTCTATATCGCTTTGGTGAACGTGTTGCCTGATCTCTTGGAGGAAGATGACCCTTGGTGAGTGACCCACTGTTGGCAGTCACAGTGGGGCCGCAGGGTGGGGGGCTTCTGGCCTCTGCTGCCCGCTCTGTGCTGCCCACGAGCCAGCTGCTCTCCCCACAGGCGCTCCCTGCAGCAGGTGCTCCTGTTATGCTCTGGCATCACGGTGATGGCGCTGCTCTCACTCTGCGTAGAGTAACCTCCGCTGGTGCCCTACCCCATACAGCAATAAGAGACTCGGATTCACTCTGTGACCTTGTGTGTGAAGCAGAGAAGGCGAGTGCTTGAGAGAACCAGCCTCTGACCAGACAGGAGGGTGCGTGTGGTGTGCACATGTGGTCAGAGGTGTGTGCGTGAGACCGACACTGTGATCTCCGTGCGCAGGGCCCAGGGCCCAGCACTGCACCTGCCCCAGCCCTGCTGCAGCCTCCTCTCCCTGCCACCCTGTCGTCTTGCACCAGCTGGAGTGAACAGTGAGGAATAGCAGAGGGCTTGCCCTGCCAGGACCCCAAAAGGAGAGCAGCCCAAGGAGCCCAGGCTGCCAGGAACCCCAAAGCTATACTGCCTCTGCTGTGGCCTCCTGGGCCTCTGGCTTGAGGGGGCAACCCTGTGCTCGTGCACCCCAGCCCCAAGAAGCCTAGGGGCCTAAGCTGGGGTAGCTTCTCTCTGCTGCGTCCATTTTCCTGGCCTTGCCTTTGCCACCTCGACAGCCAAAGAAAGGGGAGGCAGGTTCTCCTGTAGCCCCCAACCCCACTCAGCACTGACGGTCCTACCCCTCCAAGCACTGAGCAGGGAGCTGGAGGACTTTTCTTCAGGGCTGCCTGCCCAGACTAGCTCCTGTTCCCCTGGTGAACGCTCCCTGGCAGTGCTGGCAGCTCTTGCCACCTCCAGCTGCCAAACAGCAGCCTGCAGGGCAGCAAGCAGCCCCAACTGGCCAGAGGCCTCCCAGTCCAGCTCAGGGATGCTCCTGCCAACACAGGCTCTGACAGACATGCCTGGGGCGGGAGGAACGAGCCAGGCTGCCCTTCCCTGCTAGGCCCCTTCTCTTCTGCCCATGGAGGTAAGGTGGGCGTGGCGAAGGCTCCACATTGTCAGCGCTCAGGAATGTGCTCTGGGAGAATGCTGAAGCCATAATCCCCAGCTATTTCCCTTGGCTGGCGCCCAGGTACTCAGCTGGCCCACTCCACAGCCAGGATCCAATCCTGCCGCTGGACTGTGGATATTTAGAGAATTGGCCGTGGAAAGGGTCTCTCATGGTCCTACAGCCATCATGCTGTGGTACCATCTGTATCTGTAAATACCTGTTCTATAGATATGAATAAATATTCTCCACAGAAGGGCCGCCTCTGTTCTGCACACCGGGGTTTCTGCTAAGGCTGTAGCCATGTCCTTGTCTGTTACCCTCATGGTGCTCCTATTTTCTTCAGTTTTGTTGTTAGGCTTCTAACCCAATGACAGCTGAGCATTGACACAAGTCTGGCCCTGGGCCTCTTTAGCCCCTCAGTGCCCTCAAGTATGTTCTCTTTATTTATTTATTTAGTATTTATTTTTAGTTATAGTTAGATTTAATACCTTTATTTATTCATTTTTATGTGGTGTTGAGGATTGAACCCAGGGCCTCAAGGTGAGCGCTCTGCTGATGAGCCCAGCCCCAGCCCTGTTTTTGTTTTTATTTTATGAGCCTGTAAGGCAAGGATGTTTTTCACTGTCTGCCTCCGCACTCTTTAACAATTTAATCAAGGAAGGAACTCCACAAAATCATTTCCAAGTTTGACCCACTTGAAATTATTGTTCATTTCAAAGAGAAAAAGAGAGGATCCTTACTGGAACCATCCCTTCCTCTGAATGAGCTGAGTATAAGAACAAGTCAGGCACAGAGGGCTTCCCATGGTGTCACCAGCTGACTGCAGAAGGGGGAAGGAGTCCTGTCCACCTCTTTCCACTCCAAGCCAAACAGCACAGCCTACAGCAGCCTGCTGGCCAGAACCAGTGCAGTGGCCAGAGCCTGGTGCAGATGAGTGGGAACCCAAGTCAGCACCCGCTTACCTGGGAATGCAGGGCTTAGTATTTCTATCAGCAAAACATTTAAAAGAGACTTAATATCTGCTCTACCTGGTTGTTCTTCTCCAATAAGAAAACTGTCTCAAGGACCTAGTTATAGTTAGTCCAGGCCCGAAGGATCCAAGGAATAGACCCACAGCTGCCTCTCCGGCCCCACCAGGTGCCCTTGACTACAAGCTGTGGTATTGAGCCCTACGAGGTAGCAGACAGATACATGTGATCATCTCAGTCCACTGAGAGAGGCAGAGGAAGGGACTCCATTTTATAGATGAAGAAACCAAGAATGGATGAGGATAGTGCCTGCGGGCTCAATCGGTGTCAAGGCCAAGGGTGAATCCTGTCTAGTTAGAAGGGAAACAGGGTATGAAGGAGTGGGAATAGCCAAGTCAAGGCAGAAGACAAAATCACTTCAGAGGCTGGGCTGCTGGGCTACTGGAGCAGTGGGGACAGGAAGTCAGCAGGAAGGCCAAGCAGAGGGTGATACCCAGGTGACTCAGACACTTGGGGAGGATGATACAAGAGGGTAAAAAGAGCTGGAAAGGAGATGGCTGTCTGGGAAGTTAGACAATAGCTTGCTGTGGTCACATGGGGAAAGAAAGAAAAGGGGGCAGGCAGGGGCGCTTCATTTGCATCTATAAAGTGGGGTGTCCTATTGGTGGTTATTCTGATGATGAGATAATATATGCATAAGGCCTATGAAGCACACATCCCAGGGCAAGCACTCAAGTGGTCACACCTGCACCTCCAGGACACCCTCCACGGAGCCAACATACTAGCTCAGCTGCTTATAGTCGGGACAGGCCCAGCAAGATCCTAAGCAAACTGAAAGGTGTGGGGCAGATGGAGGCAGGAGAGGACAGTCTGATGGAATCTTAGGCTTAGGAAAGCTCCCAGAGTGGATATTGCTTAAGGCTCATTTTTCAGTCAGAAGAAATGGGTTGAAAGACCTACTGGACCTATGGAAAAATCAGGAGGGGCCTGTAGAGAAACAGGAGGCACACAAGCCAGCAAACAAGGGGGAAGTCTCAGGGACCCAGGACCCCAAACCTGGCTTTACACGGACAGCAATAAGGACTAGGGCCAGAGCACCAGAAATGCAGGAAAAGGAAAAGGCTGGCTTCTGTTTAGGCCCTGCTCTGTGGAACTGGAGGGACACAGTCTGTAAGAGCTCAGACAGGAAGGGCAGGGCACACCAAGAGGGCTGTGCTGGGACCTGAGATGAGAGGCAGAAGACTATAGACAGCAGCTGCGGCGCCATGTAGAGCACCAGGGGCTCACCCTGATGAAGGGCTGGGGGCCCTCGGTTGTCTCAAGAGATTCCCAGGCTGCAGCCCGTGGGGAAGGGCCTCCTGTGTATGTCCTATATCTTCTACCCAGAGCCCAGGGAAGGTGAGACAGGGGGCAGTGAGGCAAACCATCTTTTATTACAAACTCTAACCAGCAGCACTAAGGGTTGGGCCTGGGGCCCCTAGGCATAGTACTGCAGGTTGGCTTTCTTCTTGGCCTGAACCTCCAGGATGCCCTCCATGTAGTCCTCGTGGGTGAGCTCGGTGGCACCCCTGCGCAGCGCGATCATGCCCTGCAGCCAAGACAGATGGACTAAGGTGCCTCCCCACATCCTTAGCCCTGCTCCCAGAGGCGTGGGCCTTCTCAGCCCCTTCCCCCAGCAGTCTCCACCAGCTAAACACCCCATCCTGTCTAGTGAAGGGACAAGAAGGTTTGAAGACATCCTCTCACCCCTCCGCCACTTACCGCCTCCACACACACAGCCTTGCACTGGGCGCCATTGAAGTCATCAGTGCAGCGGGCCAGCTCCTCGTAGTTCACATCAGGACTGAGGAGAGACACACCACAGAGCTCAGTTACTCACGAGGGGACAGGAGACAGCAGATGTCCTACCATGCCACCCAGCAATAAAGTCAACTGGCCCTGTGACAGCAAATCCCTGACAGCAAATGCCTTCTTTTCCTCTTAGTACAAGACAGGCAGGGGACTAGAGCAAGTCAAACCAGGTTATTTCTAGGACCTCTGGTGCTCTAGCTTTCTAGGGACCAACTCGGCATGAGGGAGGGGTACAGGAGGTGGGTGGAGACAAAAGACCGCCTTACATTCCCCCACAGAGCCAGCCCTGCATCAGCCAGCACTGTGCTAGCACCACCGTCCTTATGTGCCACACATTATACTTGACACTGTCACATCTAATTGTTCCCACAAGGCCATGAAGTTAGGGTTACTATCCACAAGGCCCAAATTAGAAAACTGAGACACAGACAGGCCCAGTGGTACATGCCTGTAATCCTAGTGGCTCAAAAGGCTAAGGCAGGAGGATTGTGAGTTCAAAGCCAGCCTCAGCAAAAGCGAGGTGCTAAGCAACTCAGTTGAGACCCTGTCTCTAAATAAAATATAAAATAAGCCTGGGGATGTGACTCAATGGCCAAGTGTTCCCGAATTCAGTACCAAAACCAGACCAAAAAAAAAAAGAGAGGTCTTGCCACCTGCTGAAGGTCTTACAACAGTAAACATAGGTCATCTGGCCCTTGCCTAGATTCCCTGGGACCTGGTTGAGCTGTGCTCATCTGTGGGGCTGTGGAGCCCAAGAAAAAGCATCTGCAGCATGCCCTGGGCAGGAGAGGGCAAGGTGCAGATGATTCTAGGAGCAGAGCAACCAGAATCAGAGCCTGGATCTCAGGCAGCTGGCATGTGCCTGCAGGAGGCAGTGGTGGTCATGAAGGCTGGGGAAGCTCAGCACAGGCAGCTGTGAGGAGAATGGACAGTCAGAGATGCTCTGCTGCTGCCCATTCACGGCTCTGCTCACCTTACGTTCATCTTCCGGGAATGAATCTGCATGATTCTGGCCCTGGCCTCCTCATTAGGCATAGGGAACTCGATCTTGCGGTCCAGGCGACCTGAACGGAGCAGGGCAGGGTCCAGGATGTCTACCCTATTAGTGGCTGCAATTACCTAAGGAAAGGGAGAAGCAGCAACTTGAACTGATGGGCACAAGCACAGTCATAAAAGGTAAAAGGCAGCCCAGAGTGTGTGTGTAAGCAGGGGACCTTAAAGGTACAGACCGATCAGAATTTGAATTCTAGCTCAACCATTAATTAGCTGGGTGACCTCAGAAGGTGCCACTTACCTCTGAACCTCATTTTCTTCACTGGGAAAGAATGAAAATACTCACCTTTACTTGGGTATTGGGCTGGAAGCCATCCAGCTGGTTCAGAAGCTCCAGCATGGTCCTCTGCACCTCCCGGTCCCCGGCTTTCTCACTGTCAAAGCTGGGGTGCACAGGAGGCCAAGACACTCGTGAGGCCACAAGTTGGGCAGAGCCCTCCCCTCTCTACCCACAATAACCCTAACCAAACCTGCCTAGAGACTAACATATAAAAGGAGTCGCTAATTGTTGACTACACATTCAGAGCCTGGAGAGACTCCTGGGATCAGATGCCAGGCTGAAGATAAACAGTGAGCAAAAAACAGCCATGGCATGGGCTGTCACAGAGGAATGTATGACTGCCCACTAAGCTAGAGCTCAGAAACGCAGGGGCCTGGCCTGGGCTCCGACTCTTGGGGATTCCAGGCAGGCATCCCTAAGAAGCATCCCTGAGACTGCAGACACACTAGCTAAGCAAACCCCAAGTGGAAAACAGGAAAAGACAAGTGGGGCTGAAAACTGAGAAGGGAGTCTGGATCTGGTGGGGGAGGAAGAGGGTGGAGGAGGAAGAGAGGGAGGCAGAGACGTGTGAGACCTTACTTAAGGCCATGGTTCAGTCCAATACTTAATGCCAAGGAGCAATGAGGTGGTCCAGGAAGGGTTTTTTTTTTGTTTTGCTTTTTTCTTAATATTTATGTTTTAGGTGTAGATTGACACAACACAATGCCTTTATTTTTATGTGGTGCTGAGGATCAAACCTGGGCCCCGCTGGTGCTAGGTGAGTGCTCTACCGCTGAGCCACAATCCCAGCCCCACAGGAAGGGTTTTAAATAAGGCCTGTGTGAGGGACCATGGATGCATGTGAGTAAGGAAACATTTCTGGCTAGGGTTGTGGTTCGGTGGTAAAGTGTCTGTCTAGCATGCATGAAGCCCTGAGTTCAACCCCCAAGTACTGCCAAAACCAAACAAAAAACAATCAAATTTGTTTTGAAAGGAACATGCTGGCAGTTATGAAGAGACAACAGGTTATTTAGCTGAGAATTTAGAAATCAGAACCACATTGAGAGTAGCTACTGTCCCAGGGGAGGAAGGGGTAGAGTGGGAAAGAGATGAAATTTAGTG